CGATGATGTCTGTCCAGGCGAAGTGGAACCTGTCCTCCAGTTCAGTTTACTCTGGCCGGGACGACAACACCTTTTGGGGAATTTCGACTTTGTTATGTGGCCTAGTCGTCTGATTTTGGGACAAAGTCATCTTATTTCGGCTGTTGTGAATACAATTTTCCCAAGTGAATCTCATACAAACTAAAAATTTGCAGTCACACGAACCGATTAAGGGCTCCCACGAACTCCAGCTTTGCATCATATATGCTAAAACAGACCAAGAGTTGTGCTCAAGTTGGTGGAATTGTGACGAAACTGAACAATGTCTGCTTTATTTCTGTAGACCTGCCGGAACTGGGCTCCATAAAGCCGTATCTCCGTTGACAGGCCAATTTCCTTCTCTCCTTTAGTTAAGCTGTAAAAACCCCACTTTCAGGCCACATGAGCGCTTCCAGCAAATCTCCAGTCCCGTGCAAATGTCAGCATTTACTGACTGGAATAAGGAGTGTGTTCATCTTATTTCATTTAAAATAATTTACTGCCAATTGAACTTGCCCACAATCGGTTGAGCAGGACTCGAGGTTTCATGCAATTTCACACAGTCTTACTCCCCAAAAGCTATTCTCATCCTGTTTCGTCTCGCCCTCAACTCGCCACATTCGCTCCTCCAGCAGGACTCGGACCCAGGTTGTGGTAGTGCCAGGCTTTTCCCATTTCCCGCCAAGTCACTTTCGACGATGCTTCAGTCATTTCGGATCGGACGAGGCTCTAACCGACCGTCAGGTGTCTCAAGACTTATCCATCCGTCTTTGCGTTGATGGCTCAACAATTCAACCGACTCTCTTCACGTGAAGAATGGGAAAAAAGTTGCCAAAATACGACAAATATGCGGTCTATTCTTAGCCCATTGCATCGCCAACCTCCTTCAGTTTCCAGCAGACTCTCTTTCGCATTCCTCCTCCATCCGCCTCTTGCTCCACTTCAACCCTTTCGCTGTCCAAAACGAACAATCTCAACCGATTTTTCTCTTCCTCGTCTCGTCCTCTGAAGAAGGGTATGTGCATTTGGAGAAAAAATGCCCATTTCCAACTTTACTCGAGGGTCTGCTGAAGGGCATGCTTGTGGGCGGAACGGGCAACTCGATTGGGTAGTTGGCGAGTCGTCAGGGAGCGACTGAGATCCTGCTTTAATGTACAGACAATCATAGTTATCGGTACCCATACTTTTCGTTTTCACACTTTGCTTTTCGACACCATTCCATGTGATAAAAAAACTATTTTGGCCCCATTTCTTTCAAGTTGCCGAGAAACTGGCAGTTCACTTTTCCCACTTTCATGTGATTAGACCTCATGTTTTTATTGGCGGTTGCAGGGTTGGAGGGTTGGCGGGTCGAACACCCTCAACCCGTGGCACATGCCACACGGACCCTCGAGCCCGAAGAGCGAATTGCCGTAGCCTCCATTTGCGCCACCTCGTCACTGAAGAGGCTCTTGAAGCAGCTCTCTTAAGGCTCACGGTTTTATCTGAATTGTTTATGCTTTTTTGCTTCAAAGTAGGCACTTTGCTTCTTAGTCTTTTGCTTTTTCCTCGCCTTCCAGTCAAGGCTAGCTTGCTTTATTCAGACGGCCATCTAGACTTCTGTTCACACACACACACACACCACATGTAGACACAAGCACAAACCACACTTTCGGACATTTTCGCACTCTCTTATGGGCCTTGCTTATTTCCTTTACGACGTTTACTTTGGCACGAGGGAAGGAATAGCATTGAGTGTTTATGTGAATTCTGCAAAAACACTCCAACGTACCCTTTTGTGGCACTTAAAATTTGCTCAGATTGGCTCCGTTCTCGTGCCTCCTGGCCTTGTTTCCCACAAGCTGGCTCCACTTGGCACATCATCGCCAAGGGTGACGGAATTGGGGATATTCCACTTTGCCTTGTCGACATGCCGGCTGACTGACGTGATCGGACAAAAGTTGGCTCTGTCCGAACCACACTCGTGGTTCGAACCCCGATCAAGTCCCGGTGGCGAGACTCGAGCCGAGCCCTTACCCTCAACCTGAAGAAATCTGCTGTATCGGCCGCTAAAGCTGTGGGCCTCTACGTCCTTGTGTTTATGTTCGTGCGTGTGTGTTTGGAGGGAGAAGAGTAGTGCTGGAGGGGAGAGCCATGTTTTGGCTCGGAAAGACAATTTTTCAGAGGCTAATCAGCCGTTCTTGGAAGT